TGTTTTTTCATGTAGGCAATAACATATTTTTTAGATTTCAGCATCATCATAGAATACAGGAACATTTTCATCACTTTATCACAATCCATGAAGTTTTATCTACAAATATTTTCTGTAAGGGAGGTCCATTGATTAGGAAACTGTAATATAGTTGTCATAAAACCAAGCATTTAAAATGGGCTTGGACTCCTGTATTCACTTCATATTCAATGCTTCAAGGTAAGCTTTGTGCAACCTATGTTACTTGGACAAAAACATCTCCATATTTATTTCCTGTGTTATTATTTTTGCTTGTTTGAAATAATAGAAGACAGAAGGAATCCAAAAATAGGACACTGATGAAAAAGATAATGACCGAGAGGTGCCACACAATCAGTTAACAAATGCTCCTATCCATGAATGAGCCAGAGGGCACAGCCTTTTGAAGGGCTCCACAGAATCAACTATTTACATCACCTAACAAACAACAAAAAAGACCCCCAAAACCCCATTTGATTGGCACTTTCAAATTCATCCTTTTTTCCATTTTTTGTGCTCTCCTGACTCAGAGTGTCTTCCAATTAATATTTACCAAATGGTTTCTCCCTTCTTCATTTAAATCAGTTCAAAAACTGCACCTGTTTCATGAGACCTATGTGTGCTTCTGGCAGCTGATATTTGAGGAAAAACAAAGAGAACTTAAAAATCCTAACTAACTACATTAAAATGTAATCAAGAAAGAGAAAGCTAAGAGTAGCTCTGCCAGTACAAGACACCAGCAAGGCACGTGGGGGTACCCCAGGGACACAGGTGGGTAAATGTGTGGTGCATAGCCTGGGAAGGACCCCACATGTCTCATGCCATCAAATGTGCCTGAAATGCAGCAACAGCACACAGCAGTTACTGAGTGCCCCGGAGACACCATGCTTGCCTCATTCCTCTAGAAAATAAGGCAAAAAACCCATTGCAATAGTACCACAAAACAACAAAATCAAGCTACAGTACTCAAAGCCAGAGCTCATTTTAAACAATAACATGTGGGAAGAGATTTGAAAACAAAAAGCAGCCACTGTGCACGACAGCCAGAGGATGCTATCAAAGCCAAGACACAGACAGCTAAAGTCATTTGCCAATGTACAGATTCACTCCAAGCTTCACTTAAAGCCATCGCTGCTTCTACAGAGTACAGGGAAGGAACCAGATTTGCCCTAAAAGGCTGTACAGGGTTCTTTTACATATACTTTTGCTAATACATAACAAAGTACTTTATACAGCACTTTTGTTGCTTCTATTTAGCAGTTCTCCCACATTATCTAGATGAGAGACAATTGCACAATGGCAGGTAAATCTTGTTAGAAAGCATCCTAAATGAGAGGGAAGAGCTTGCCTCTAAAATACACAGAAAAGATCACAGGTCTGTGGTGTATGCTGAGGTATTTGCCTGGGATTCTTTAAAGATAATTTGGTGAGGAAGAGACTTGCAGCTTTTTGAAGCAGTTTCCTTCAGTACTGCCAAATTTCAAATTACTTTTCTTTTCCTGGCAGCTGTTAAGGAACTGATGTTACTGGAGCAGATGACCAGCCATAGGAGTGTCTTCTATGGCAGTCAGCAGAGTCCCATGCCCACAGGAGTTTGGTGGATGTGTCCAGCTGCTGGTCCAAAAGCAGGAATTGTGACATGACCCTGAATGTTAGAGGTTCATGCACATTTCTGCATTATTGCAGAGATCCCTCTATTCCAGAGTACCCTTAACAGGGTCTAGGTCACTTCTGTACCACAGCTCATACAAATTAGCTTCCTGCATATTCCTGTCAAGCTAATGGACAAAATTCAAAGAATGTACAACCTTAGAGGCATTTTAATGTGTTATTTTCAACTGCCTTATTTAAATTGTATCATTTTTTTAAAGCAACATCTTATATCCTTGAGTCATATTTGTTAATTCCCTATTAAAATGCACCCCCTTTCTCACTAATAGAGTGTTTTAAATTATGCTCACACATTTTTATATTCCTACTCACTATTAATCAAAACCATAATTCCCATAAACTTAAGCACAGGTTGCATTCCAGATGCAGACAGTTCACATATTCTGTATGTTTTACACGTATTTAAAAGAATGCAAGTTCAGCAATATTTAATCAGTCTAAGATTAAAGTTTATTTACACTGACTTCAGGTACTTTTGAAAGTGAAAGACCCAACAGTTATCTCAGTGGTGACTAGTTCAGTCTTTTTGCAGTCTCAGATATGCTACTGTCATCCACATGCCCAAATGTAAAGGAATGCCAGCAATATCAAATGAAATCTGTTTTGTTAGTTAGATTTTCCTACCAGTGTTAATGCAGCTCTTCAATGCCTGATCTCATTTTGAAAAATCTTACTATCTCCTTTTTATTTTCAAAATGCTTCTTATTCCCCTGTTGCTGAGAAAACTTGGCTGTGTTTATAAACTCTCTTATTAAATGTTTTCAAAGCTAAGCAAGGTAGCAAAAAGAAAATTCTTCCTCCTAGCTTTCATCTATACTTGTCTTTGAAATTATGTAAATATATTGGCTGTACATTTGGGCATTTTTGATAAAGAATATTTAGACAATAACATGAATAAAGTTTTTTTCAATCTTTAAAACCCTGCTTTCATAAATACCTGTAAAAACAGTCTCATTTAAGTCCTAGAAAGATGCTGCAGTACAACCTACCTGAATAACACTTATAACACTTTTAGGGAAATAAGATGAGGTTCTGGATTTCCAGCTTCAATAAGGCAGAAAACTTCATAATCATAATCCAAAGAATCCTTACTAGTTCTTGAAGGTTTTTTTAATACTTTTTTAAGAGGTTGACAGAGTAGTAGTTAGATGCATAAATAAGATATTTTAATTACAATCTAACAAAATCAAGACTGTAACCATGATTAATTTTTTTTAATAACCTTAGTTCTTCAAGACTCCAGTCCTAATGGGGCAATCATGCATCACTGTTGTGTTCCAGCAGAACTATTAGGCTCTGTGCTGTGCTAGTGTAATTGCAGTCTAATGGTTTACACTATCATAATGGTACTAAATATTTTACTAAACAAAGTAAAATATCTAAAAATTATTTAAATTGTTCCAGCTTTAAGATCGTACATCAAAGAAAGAACTTTTCCTTTCTTTCTGAATTGAGAGTAACAAAGATGTCAAAATTAGTTTCTTGTTTCTCCTAATAAAGTGGTTAAAACATAACATTAGAAGCAGGGTTTAAAAATTACAGTGAAAAATTACTTAGTAAAACATGAAAAATATTAAAATATTTTGAGGCATTTTGATGCTCTGCTTCAGCAGGCTGGCACAGCTTAAACTGTCAGATTAGCAAAGGATATAGGAATACTCTATTCAGAATCTAACTTGGATTTTTAAATCAGAATTTCTGATTATTTACTTAACAAAATTTTAATAAAAATCCCTCTCTGTGCAAGTGTAGCAAATCACAAGCTATCTAAGCACGAGATAACATCATTATGGTGCAGCTGTGGTCAGTACCAGCAGCAGAGCAGCTGAGCTGGCAGCAAACCCAGCAGAGCCTCCCTCCCCAGAGCTGAGCCTGGCAGGAGCAGAGTGACCTGACCCCACCTCGGCACGTGCCCACTCACCAAGTAACTCCACGCACTAAGTCACACTAATTCTGCAAGCAGGGACAAGCAGTACAGGTAAGGATTTGGTAAATCCTGCCATTAACACACCAGAGTAGCCCCAGCTGCACCCTGCAATAGCTGCTGCCTTACTCCTTGGACAAAGCCAAAAATATCTGTAACTCCAAAAGGGGCACTGAAGTTAGTACTAAAAGTGCTGAAAGCTTCTAGGATTGCTTTCAGAACTCCAGAAATTGATTTTTAAAAATCTACTTTGCCTAAAACCAATTTATACTTAATTCCATTCACTATTTTTATTTTAAAAAACCTTATTTTTTTTACTTCTAACAATGTTTTTCAAACACTGTTTTCTTGGAAAATAAATTTTCTTTTTCCCAAAAATCAGGACGTTTTTCAGGAAAGGTTTTTGAATTTGGACTAGGACACAAGGGGTTTTTTTCCAAAATTTTGTTTACTACTAGTATTTTCTACAACAGTGGTTCGCTTAAAAAAGAAAAAAGAGAGAAAAAATATGTTTTTGCTATCTAGAGAACATTTTGTACAGCTCATAACTCCTTGATTTAGGGACTGCCAAGATCTAGATCACTTTGTACCTGGAGAATAAATTAGTTCTTTTAAAACAGAATAAAATAAAATTTTCTTCTACCTGGCACAGGAACTTTTTTAAAAACATGAAATAGAATTAATTCAGTTATTTGGTATTAAATAATATTTGAGCTCACACCAAGGTACTAATAACAAGAACTAATTATTGCCCATCCTGTAAGTGAGAATCTGTAGCTTTCTACTATTGATGACACATTCTCTTTCTAGCCATGCTCTGTTCTGGTGAAGTGAAGAAGCACCTCACCAGTAAACACTCTTAAAAGACTCAATATCTGCACTATGCTAAAAAAAAGAAACAAAACCATAAACCAGAAAATAACCCCAGCATTTGTTAAAGAAAAAATGCTACTTAAACCAAATTTCTCCAGTAAAATTTTCTATTTTGCCAAAAAGCATTGAAAATGCACTTAGGGCTTTTATTTCTCATTTAAATTATGAAATATTTATTTTAAAAAATACAGATACAAAAAAAAAAAAAAAACAGGGTAGAAAATCTATCTTCTAAAGATCTCTAGGATTTATTGATACAGTATACACACCTAACTTGTTACTCTTAGATAATTACCTAACACAATATTCTACTTACAAGGAGAGGTTTAATTTTAATTTACAGTTTAATTGTCCTACTTAAAGTAAGCCTGTCGCCTGTGTCACTTTGTGGCTCATAACTGTAATCCTCTTTTAATTATTTACTTCAAGGGAGCATTTTAATTATAGACATTACTATGCATGTAGAGCAACTTACACTCAAAGGCAGTGAAAATTTATACAGTAGAGTGCTCACCTGAATCTCCACTGGCCACAGCTCCACGTGCAGTGGCTCAGCTGCAGAGCTGAACTTAGGCTGCCGAGAGATGCTCTTCACTTCTCTGGCCTAGGACCACATTTGGGGTGCCTGAAAACAGGCAGGAGCACCAGGGCACAGAGAGCTTGGATTACAACTGCAAGGCTCCCAGCTGAAATATAAATGAGATTATAACAACTTGTCACATCTACATTTGACCCTGCAAATAACCTTTGGACCAGGGAGTGGACACACAGCATTGGCTCCGGGGTGAGGCCACCACTGTGCTCCATTTCTGTGCTGATCAGTAGTGGAGTGACAGAGCATGAGCTTTCCTCTGATTGATTTCCTGAAATTTGAGCAACCAGTGATTTATGGGTTTCCTAAGATAGGGGCTGTCTATCAGCTTTTATTTAATAGCCATCACTTAACCAATATTCTATGAAATAATCTAGTATCTATGCAAACTAGGTATATTTTTAGCTTTCAAAATATCACATTGCAACAAGCTCCATCATTTAAAAATTAAAAAAAAAAAAAAAAAAGATAAAAGAAAAAAACACTGCTTTGTGTTTGCTTCAAATTTGCGGGTTTGTGTGCTATTGCTGGGTCATCTTTACAGAAATTTTAACTTCCAAGGCAGACATTTCATCATCACACAAGTGGCACTATGCAACTTACCTGCTTGGACCAAGGAATATTTTTCATTGCTTGAAGTCCCAATAGGCAACTTCAAAACAAACTGAAAATACTTTAATTTTTAACATATTTGGCACAATAGGATTCATTTCTCTGCAGGTACATCCAACCAGAAGGGATGGTAAAGGATGCCTTGTCCCCAGACTTGCCAGCAGGTGACTAGGGCTATCTGCCTGGGGCAGATGGGGACAAGGGGCTGTCCAGCCTCCTGTTCTACATACTGAAAATATGTGGCAGAGTGAAAGAGCCCAGGTCCTGCAGAAGTCCCTTTTTTACCAATAAAACACTTCCAGGATTTGTGGTGTCCCTGATTTACTCCTGACTCGCACGTCTTGCTTAATGCCCAGGCAGTCCCATGGGCAGCCAGCGGTGTTTCCAACTGGGATCCTTCCCTCTTAGAGAAGCTCCTTCTGCAAACTCCCTCCTACACAGGAGGAGACACCAAAGCACTGTCTCCCTCCCAGGAGACAAGAGTGCTGCCAGGATTTCTGAGGGGTACAGGTCTCCAGCACATCCAGCAGTGCAGACAGGAGACATTGGGCACGTGGGAACTGCAGGCCTCCTGTGTCTGAGGTAAGTGCCTCTCACTTCATTATTAACAACCTCCATATCTTCATAAGATGCTTATCTTTTTCAATAAACAGAAAGAGTTACTGAAGGTTTTGTCTGGTGCTTTTCTTTTTTTTTTTTAATACTGGGATGAATCCAAAGATTCCTTTCTTTAGTATCTACCTTTCTTCAGTGATGAATGTTTTTTCATGAGCAGTGTCATTACATACAATTTTTATCATCTAGATTGTTCTATTTTATTCAGCAACCTAGAAAAAATTTCCTCTTTCTCTTTCTAAAGAAGTAACCTTCAACCTACAATTTGTCTGCTGCTTCTTACAGTATCCTCAGCACAGCCATGGCCCCTAACAACTGAGGGCATTCAGCACCTTCCAGCACAGAGTATATCACATTTCACATCTGAAATTGCTTACCTCATCAGTCACTAAGGGCCCAGTTTGGAAGTCATTAAAAATAATGAGAATGCTGGCACTTCTCCCAGCAATAATGGCATTGGGTTCTGTGTTGCTTTTATACTTTAAGACATTTGTATACATCCACAAATCATTTAACTCTTATCTTTGTACTAGCTTAATGAAACTAATGGCTGCTGAAACTATGTGGGTTTTATTCTACTTTTTATTTAAATAAGCTTCTGCCCACTCCATCATAAAACAACACAAACACTTACACAGCATATTGCATCACAAAAGCCCCAAAGTATTTACCAGGATCACTATAACCATCACTAAAATGCACGCACTTCTCAGTCAATAAACACTTCAGCTGACAATACAGCCACAAGAGAGTTTTCGGAAGGAAAGCTGAAGAGCAACAAATCCAATTTTCCCAAAATAAATTTAGAACCAGAGTCTTGCATTTTCCTCTCCATCTGGATCTACTATAGCCTTTCCCACCTATGACCATGCAAAAAAACCCCAACTCCATATTAACTCACTGAGTAGCAACATCACTCCTGCAGGGTCCATATCTTACAAACTTCGACAGGATAACGAGCCCTCAGGAACACGCTCCAGGCCAGCACTAAATGCACCCTTAGAATTTCAACTAATCATTGGGAAACACACATTAATGCATATTAAAACTGTAAAATATTCACCCTTAATACTCAAGGTCTAGCTTAGGGCCAATATAAAATTTCTCACCACTACACCTTTCCTGATAGGAACATGCACAATTTACATGGTTTGAAATAAATAAGAATAATACAAATATGGGAAAAAAAATCTCACCTTCTTTAGATGTGTGCTTATTTGCTCCAGGCATACATTCGAACTGTACATTAAAAAAAAAAAACTGTCATGAGAACAAACGCTAAAGTTACAAATCCAGCATTTCTGCATAGGAAGTGTGATATTTCAAACTCACAGAAATTAATGACAGTTTCTAGAATGACTCATACATTTTGACATCACCTGCTCACAGATAAGGTATCTCTAAGATGCAAAGGACTTGAACTCCAGTCACCCTAGAAGTCCATCCACAGTGTGAAAAATCCAAAGATCTGGACTGCTGCTGAAAGCTCTATCTTGTCAAAAATCAGTAGAGTTTAGTATGACTAAATGGACTGATTTACTTAGGTGGGAGCATAAAGAAAAGGTAGATGTAAGTCAAATAGTAATATTTCTAACCAATAATAAAACTACAAGTACCAAGTGTAATAAAAAAGTTCCCCAAATGCTTCATAAGGTAAACTTTAAAGGTGTTTTGATGTTATTATCAGTATATGTGAAAATCTGAAAAACATTACCACTGCACAGAAGTTAATCTAAAAGCCCATTTTGTAAGGTTATTAAAAAAATATTTTTAAGGCTGTTAAAAGTTTAATACCTTTGCAAAGTATTTTCTTTGCATTTATTTTTAAGTGCTGGATAAAGTCTGCTTTTAGAACACATATTGCTTAATGCACCCTTTAGTTGGTGTAGCACTTTTAATTTCAAAATATTTTAAGCCATGTTACAAATACCTTACCAAGGTACAAAAAAAAAAAAAGAAATCACCCAGCCATCCTTAGCAGTAACTAGAATATCATTTGTTTGATTTCTTTTATATATTAGATCAAGGAATGAAATGACAGCAAACTAGCTTTATAATTATCAATCTAGTTTGAAATTATCTACCACATATAATCCACAGAACTACTAGTACAAGCTACACAATTTAAGCAATAGGTGCAAAGGCTCAGGCATCATGAGTGATCCCACCATTTAAAAAGATGAAAACATCCTTATGCAGCACAAGTAAGTGAAGAAGAACGTAAAAACTGATTTGAAGATAATATTGAACAGCAAAGACAAATAACATTGTGGCAATTTTATTAGAATAGACATGTTTTTAGAATATTTGGTGAAATTTTATATTTGATTTTTTCCTGCAGTGAGTGGCAAAATGAAGGTAGTAGTTTTCAGATACCAAAAACCTGCCTGTGGCTCATCATCCAATTAATTGATATGAGTAAATTAGCTGAATCAAGCTAAATGACAGCTGGTTGCTCCATGAAAGCTAGTAGTATATCACAGTAAGAGGCTTTCAGAAAATTAGATCAGTGCAAAGGTCTTTCCTTTTGAATCTTAGAAACACATTAAAAGGCATTTCTATCTTCACTTTCAGAAAAATAAGCATTTAAGAAAGGGATGACAAGGTATTAATATTCAGAAACTCACTGAGAAGATTACAGGTGTTACAGTAGCAGTGGAGATTTTTGTTGCAAAAGCACAACAGAATTTTTCATCCAGATCCTCTTCCATGAAATGGATAAGATCTCTCATACCCATTATCTCAGATGTCTCTCTCCTATCTTCCTCAAGGAAAGAGAAGACACCTTGATTGCTCTGTTCTTCCATCCCCTCTTACTACTGCACCTGCTGCACCCATTTGAAAATATCCTGCCATCCCAGGTGCTCTTTTGCACTGAGACAGGAGTGACACTCGGGACAGCTCAACCAATCTTGTTAGTCTCTTATGAAATTACATGGGATCACTGCTTTTTAAGGCCTTATAAGAATCTTGCTTTGGCTTTGTGCAAATGTAGGATAGTACAGGGGATGGTACAGAACTTAAAAAACACAGCTGAACAACTAGGGAGAATTGAATCTGAATTCATTACACTGGGAGCAGAGTTAGAGATTTAGTGCCAGCTAACGCAGAAAAAACCTATAAACAACCCCCCTTCTCTTCGGATCTAAGCATCAATGCTGACTAAACTGCAGGATTAAAATCTGCTCTTAGGAAAAATAATCACATATAAGCTCCAATTAAACTCCTAAGTGTGAACTCTGCTGCAATGGGGACTACACACTCTCAGGCTGCACAGAAGTTCCATTATGTGAAAAAGAAAAAAGCACAGCTTTTCTTACCACTGAGATGCTTCTCACACTTTTTCATTTTAGTGGTGGTGTTTTCCACTTTCCTCCCTCCTGTCACCTCAGACAATGATAGCTCAAGTGGACAATACAAGCAGAGGGGACACTTCTATTAATCACACTCCTCCCTCATTTTTTTGTTTTTGTTGCTGTAGTTTTGCACGCATCAAAATGAGAATTTGCCCAAGATACTGCCTGCATGAAAAACTCTGTGTCACTTAGAGATTCTGAGCAACAGGTATTCATTGATGGATTTCAAGTAGATCCTGAAGTGGCAGCCAAGACTTTACAGCTGAGGGAGCTGAGGCTGTTTAGTCTGGAGAAAAGGAGGGAAACCTTATCACTCTCTAAAACTGCCTGAAAAGAGACTGCAGCAAGGTGGGGGCCAGTTCTGGAAAAGAAGCAATAGTATGAGAGGAAATGCCTCCATTTGCACCATGTGAGGTTTAGACTGGATATTAGGAAAAAATTCCTCACTGAAAGGGTCGCCAAGCACAGGAACAGGCTGCCCAAGGAAGCGGTTGTGTCACCATCCCTGGAGGGATTTAAAAGGTGTGTAGATACAGCATTCAGGGGATTGTTTAGTGGTGGCCTTGGCGGTGTTGGGTTAATGGTCAGACCTGAGAGGACTTCTCTATCCTAATGTGATTCTGTGATTCTACCTTCCCAAAATATTGTACAGAAAAAAATCAAGACTCTGATTTTCTCATTCAAACATTAGCTAAGAAAATGTTTAACCCTGGAGACATTTTCAGAAAATTAGTTCAGAGCCTTTGCACAATTTAATCAGAAGAAATTTTAAACTCTGATTGTGCAATTAAACACAATATACTCTTGCAGCTGCCATTTATCACACTGCTACCATTTCAAGTAATCTGGCCAAAAGAACTGTCTGGTACCTAGGAGTGAAGAAATGGAAAGGATAATGTTCTGTAGGAAAGCAGGTCTATCCAACATTTTACAGTGCTAAAAATACCCTCAGGATTTGTTCTGATACCTTGTAATTATGCACACATATCCTGATTTATGGTGCATGTCTCCCAGCTAAAAGTAGTATGCACTCTGTTTCGTATCTTGCCCTATTTATGTGTAAAATACTCTAGTCTGTAATGCCATAAAAGAGAGGACAGGCTCATTGCACATGTTGCTATTGCTTTTATATGAGCATAGGCATAATCTAATGATCCTTTTCAACTAAGGATAAATATGCACAATTTAGCCTTAAACATATTCAGTGTCAGATCATTTCAACTGCTGCCTTTGAGAAATATGCCTGTGATGTTACAGATCTCTGCTGTCCAGCCTCCTCCTCAAGACTGTAGAGAGTGCGGCAAAGGAGACAAATATATCCAAACTGGAAAAGGGACAAAAAACATTGGCAGCTGTGCATCAAGACACATATCTGCTTCAAGCCAAAGCTGTGAATTCATGTTCCACAACCTTCCTCTGCTTCTCTCCACCTTCACATGACCCTACTCTCTCACTGACCACTTATGTAATTAATGAAGTAAAGAGAATCCATCTTGTCCAGGTAAGTACTAGCAAAGAGAGAGGTGGTTGATAGAAAAATTAAAAAGTATTTTACCTGTAACAATTACTGGACGTATCCTAACTACTAGGTATATGCAGGTCCATTTCAAAAGAAGAAAGGGCAACCTGGCTTAGACAAGGAGATCTGATTTTCATTCCCCAAGTCTGCTCTGCAATGCTCACACAACAACTGGCACGTGGCTGAAATCCTCTCTTAGGAGACAGAGAGCAAAGGAGTTACCCAACATTTATTTGCTAACGGGTTATTTAATTTTCTTGGGTTTGTGTTGGTTTGGGTTCCCTTTTTTTAATTATCCACCAGTTTCAAAAAAGGGGAACACATTTACAGATTTAATGTTTTGATGTGTTTCTGCCCACCTTTTACATACTAATCTTTAAAAAAGGAAATGTGGTAAGTGCAAAGGAGTGGCCTTAGTTGTCATCTGTGTAAGGAAGAGCTGGAATTTGCATGTGCTAACAAGGGATTCAAAGGCCATAGCAGGGAGAAGGGTCTTCAAATTACTGCAGCTGGGGTCATTAAAGATCTGACTGCTTGTTTTTTCCTAACATATCTTAAATTTGGTTGACTGTTATTATTATTATTATTAATTCACACCTTTTGCACAAAGGAGAAGGTTTGCAGTGTTAAAATAATTTTGAAAAAGGACTCAGTCAACATAAGGTCCAGTTTATCCATTAAATAAGTCCATGTTTTTGCTGACTACTTTTTAAAAAACTATTTAACTTGTAGACTGAATTCAAGCCTTATTTCATTTCACAACACAGCTTAAATTCTGTGTTTGTCAGTTTGGACAACTCTGTACCTATTTCCTACTTGTATGGATACAATTAAATATGTACTAATGTACCAATAATGAACTTGCATTATTAACAATCACTGCAACATAATTAGCAATTCCCAGAAAAGGATACAACCCAAACCTGAAACGTTCATAATATTATTTTCATTTATTTATTTTCGTATTTAACTAAATCTACTACACATCCTTTATGTTCCTCTCAGTGGTAGTTCCACCAAGTTTTTTACATTACAATAGAACTATTTTTTTCCTATTCAGATTCAAGTAAGTTTTTCATCTCATTCTGGAATTGGTGCATCAATTAAGATGTGGATCAAAAGAATATTTTCCCTCACACGTGCAGAAACCACAAAATGTATGGAAAAGGAGCAGCCTAGAGAAAGGCTTAAGGAGTTCTCATGCTTTTTCAGCAGGTTCACATAGATAGCTATGCAGTCAATTTTATGAATATCCTAACCAAATAAACCAAGTGACACTTGTCTTTAATAGCCTCTCTAAGGAACATCTAATCTGCATACATCTCACTTTCCATACTTTAAACTTTTTCTTTAAATCAAAGCAGGTTTGCTTTTCATGACCTCTTTTATGAACCCTTTATGAATAGTTCCACTGTCCATGTTTATTAGCTTTTTCCTTCTCTTTTCTCTTTCTTTTTTTTAAAGGATATCTGATTTCCTTCCAAAATAAGATGATTTTTCTTGTCACCCCACTATTTTTTTAGTGTTCCCTATTTCAAAAGGCTTATATATTTAAACAAGTAAGGGCTCTGGTGCACCATCATGCACCAGATGTAGCCTAGAAATAATTTTATTCATCCAAATTCAATTAGGTGCTGAGACAGTAAGGAGCAAAACTAGATTCCTTAAGACAGAACCCAACATTTTAATGAAAATTAACACCTCCCTCCCTCTATGTGTGAGCTCTCTGATTATTAATCTTGATACATGGGAAGATGAACACTGGACAGGGTGAAGGACTAGACAGTGCCTCTGCAGCCAATGTGCTGAACAGAATGAACTGAGTGCAGGAAAACAAGATTGTAACTTTTAAATTTTAATTGTCTCAGAGAACTAAACCATTAAAATAAAGTTCTTATCAACACACTGCCAAAAAACCATTAAACCAGGTGCAGAATAACGTCTTTTAAAAATAAAATAAAATAATTAGAAGATAGAAGCAAACAGACTATTCATAAAAGCAGACAAGAGAGCTTAGGTTTTTTTAGTTGTCATGCAATTTTCTTACAGGATTCTCATAAGAAGAGGAGAAATTAACCAAGAAATTCTTGAACTATTTCTTTACATGGAACGAAGGAGATATCACAGAAATGACTGCACATATAGATAATTTTAAAACTTTCCTTGGTGCATCTGAAAACCCAACTACAAATAAGGAAAGTAGAAGCAAACTTAAGCAGTGAAGCTATAGTACGCACCTTAACAGCCTAAAAATAACCAGTGAAAGCTTCTACAGTAAATTGAATACACAAAATAAGCTATCACCATGTCAAAACCTAATATTTTTACAGTGATATTCTATAAGAAAAGTCAAAATAACAAATACCCCGATTCAGAAAATTAGAGACTGTAATGGCATTACTACTTTCTAGCCATCTGGATCCACAGAGATATTTAATACTGCTAAGAACTAGGGCCTAAACTGAAACCAGAAGGACAAAAGAGAGAACGATGGACATAAGTGAGTCATTTAGCCTCAACAGCCTAAAACTGTCAGGAATCTACCATTTTTAGCTTGTAAGATAGAGCATGTATTTAGCATCTGAAAAGTCTGGATTTTGTAATAAGCACCAGACTCAATCTTAATGTGCAGAGGATACAGCCTCTTTGTAAGGCATTCAATAACATCATACTTGATCATATAAGAAGAGCCATTTAGACTTCACATATTGAGCAATGGCTCATCTACAAAATATCAGTGTATAGAAAAAGCAAAAGAACACATTACAAAAGAATATCCAGTCCCCCTGATAAGACTTTAAAGCAATATATAATATACCCTGGATTAATATCATATTAATAGCTGTGGCAAACTTATACCCTTCCCATTTCAATAGTCTGAGCCAAATAGGGAATGCATCTGACTATCTTTTCAGTAATTCTACTTTTTAAGTGTTACATTGAACCAGGTCAAGCAGAACCCAAGATACTTTATTTCAAGGCTATTTCAACAGTTAGAGCTGCAATTTAAATAGAAAGCGAGTGGTACTGTTCTCTGTACTTTAAACTATTTTAATAGTTTAAATAAATGAAAGTTATTGAAACTAGTTTTAAGAAACGAACTTGAATCATGCACAAATGTGCTGGTTCAATACAGAATAAGATCAAGAGTGCAGAAATGAATTACATTAAAAAGCAAAAATATGCTAAATCAGACAAAGAATTGAAACTCCAATACATCACAGATGATTCTCCGCTAGCACATGTTTCCACCCAGAATACACCTATTGCACACAGAAAGCAGAAAATGAAAAGAAATGCTAATCCATGCAACAATGCTGCTTCACAGAAGCAGTGAAGGGCTTCAGTTGGGTCCTTAAAAGCAGGTATTGGGGGAAAATGAGATACAGCAAAACGAGTAGGCAAGTGACTCAAAGATAGGTTCCCACCTTCTTCTCTACCCTGCTGTCCACACTCCAGGAAATAGACACCTTTAGCATCACCAAAGTACATGTAGGAAAATATATTTGAGAAACTAAGGCACTAGAGGTTACATGGTGGTGCTTCAAAGCATTTTTTTTCTAAGATCATTCTCTCACTCTCGTTTCTATTTCTTTTTATAGACACAGACCCATGAAGGAAAGACCTTGCTGACTGAAGCAGTTTCTCTACTGAAATGTGCTATTGGCATAGAGCGATATTAAATTAGAATAGAAAGCTTAGAAGTTACCTTCACTTAAATACAAAAGCATACACATACTCCACTCAGAGTGGAAGAGCAAACAAACAGAAAATAAAAGTGCCCATAAAAGCAATTATCTTCCTTAGCTGCAATAAGTCATGTTCACACAGACATTGCCTAGTGCTCCCAGGCCAGACCAGCTCATCGCTGCATGGGAGGAACAGAAAGAGCTGGTAAGCCAAGCTCCCTTGTGCCAGCAGTGCTCAGGGAGCCTGAGGAGCTGCAGAGCCCCCAGGCAGTGCCCCCAGGCAGTGCCCACTGCCTGGCACCACACAGCAGAGCCACATGTCCAGAGCCCCTCCAGCACACCCCTGGAGAGCATGAGCCTACAGCAAACCTTGGCCACAGATCCACCACAGATTTCAGTCTCAGGCACCCATATTTTATACTTCAAAAGAGAACTTTAAGCCTCACAATCTACATCAACTAACCATGGGAATGCTGAGGCTTTTATCACAAATGCTTAGGAGGTCTCAAAACTTCCTCATCCAGCAGGCATGCCCAAAAACATCTCAATTCCAGCAGGTTGGAAATCCACATCTTTGAGGCTTAAGCTTCATTAGGAACTGCAAAGAGCTACTCCCACAAATATTTTGCCTGAGGATATCAGTCCCACAGGCAGGCAGTACTTTTACCTAGAGAGGTTCTAGCAAAGACCTTCCTCAAAATCAATTGTCATCATCACTGTGACTAATCCTGCACTCTTCCCAACAGCCCTTCTCAGCCTGTATGTACAGAAATCAATTATCTATTCCAGGAAAGTGCATTGAACACAAAAGGTGGGGCAAGGACCCAATGACCAGATGTTGCAATTACTTGTGCCCTGGCTGTATAGTCCCCTTACAAACCCAAACCTAGCTTCACTTGCAGCTCATTCTGTGTCTGGAGTGAAGGAAGAGGAACAATTATACTATCTCAAATCATCATTATTGTTTCAATGATTGCATTAGCATTCTCAAAGCATAAACCGCCCACAAAACATTTGAGGCAGACATCTAATGATGGATTTTCCCAACAGAGAAAGCAATTCCTCTAAGCAATAAAACAGTCTGTGAGGAATCCTGCAGTCATAAATCTAGTATTTCTCATTACAGAATTTACATCAGCCACGAAGTGATTACTTCTGAAATTACAAACCCTTGTGGGCAGAAATATTAGTGGGTTACCAATTGCCATTCTCATGAGTCATGAGAAAAGTAGCTCAAGCCATAATAGCAAAATATCAAAAGAATTAATTGTCTTATTAAAGACAGAAAGTTTAGGGCAAGTATCTAGGCATCAAAATACAAAGGTCAGCAGTAAGTTCCCATCTGAACTTTCAAAGGTTACCAAGGAATATCCAAGCAATACAGGTTTGTCACAACTTTTCAACGTATCTCCACAAAAGCAGTATTTAGACTCTTCAAACCTCCCCAGCATTTCCCACATGGGAGCATGTAATGTGCAGAAAGGAAAAGAGAGGGAGGGAGAGAAGAGGGGAAGCATGCAAGGCCTTCCACTCTTGCAGAGCACAGGTTCTCAGTTCCCCAGGGCAGTCCTGGCTCCCAGCTGTGCCCAGTGCCGGAGGCACGCGGATGTGCAGCACGCGGGCAGGTCCCAAGCCACAGCAGCGGAGGGGCAAGGGACTAAGGGGGACCATGCAGGGACAATTTTGCCCAGCTCGCTTGATGCTGAAACACATATATCCCAGGACTTGTCAGGGAGCTGACATGTCCCTCTGTTTGAGGATAACTATCCCAACAAAAATACTTTTTCCTTCCCTAGGTGCTGTGACCTAGCAGCAACCCAAAGGGCTTCAAGGATCACTGGGATTAAACCAAGCACCTTTTATTAGAAAAAGCATGTCCTCCAACACCGTGCTTGGGACAAGATAAATGTCATATATTCCTTGAGGAAAACTAAGATACTGCACAAGCACCTTAAACACAGGACTGATCATTCTACTGAGTGAATAGAATAAGATAAAATCTGTTTAACTCATATGAACTCATACTTCACATACATTAATAAACGTTTCTAGTTTAACTGCAGAGAAAGCAGAAGAGAGATGTTTTCAAGAAGATATACTCAATTGTAAAATACATTTTCACACAGATAGTTAAACACAGGATATTGGTTTTGACTGCTCACAGAAATGGAGGGAAAGGGGAAACAAAACAAAAGAGGAAACAGGGGAAAAGGGAACCATAGTTAAAAGCAAAGAACTGTAAAAGTGCATTCTCTCCACTTAACAAGGCAACTGCTCCAGTGACAGGCAGAAGACTGACCTTGACCAAGTCCCATGGCAGACGAAACTTTGCTGTAGAGCACTGGCTCCATGCCCTGCCGTTAGGCTCAGCTATTTAGTGGTAAGAGGCAGGCCAGGAAGGAGCAGAGAGGCAGGTCCCCTCCTGGGCAGCAGCAGTGGAGAGTGATGTCAGTTCAGAGGCCAGGTGGGATGCTCAGCTGAAGACAAGGCAGGTCCCAGCTACAGCACAAGCCCCTTTCAAACAACCTGGGCAATTCACAGGATGTTGTTCAGCATGCTGAATAATGAGGATTTGGAGCTGGCTCTTCTTCCTGGAGACTCTGGGGGCTTGACTGAGCCCAGCTGCACACACAGAGGAGTGGCCTCATCTCTCCACAGTCCTGTGAATAGGTATAGTATTTTATTTTTACTACAAGCCTCATCACTGGCTATGGTGCTAGTTGCCTTATACAGAATGGCGTAAAAATTATTACAAGCAAGGTAACGGTAGCAAAAAAGCCTAAATACATGCTTGCAAAAGAAATTAAGTTTTATTACAAAAAAAAATTTAAATAATTAATCATACAATTTATTATCTCATCTTTGCCATATCTCATGCACTTCATTTTAGCTATTCCTGGAGTAATCTGATCACATACTCCATGTTTATGAAAAAATTATTTATAAACTATTTTTATTCCTTATAATGGAATGAAAAAATATTCAACATGCTCATGCTTTTTGCCCTAATAATATATTTGAAATTTATAGGGTTGTAAGATAGTATCACACTCTGGCATTAGCTTTTTGATCTATTGGTGCCACTTTAGTAGATGATAATGTCTTACCAGTTCAAAATACTGGCTTAGTAAAAAACATACTTCAGTGTTCCCATAATGCATTTTACCACAAAGGGTAAATATATATTTACTGTTTATTTTCTATTTCACTAGATATTCATATAGGGAATTGTTCTTGTAGCTGGTTCTACATCCACCACTACCCATAGTGTCACTTGTTCACAATTCATTACAAAAATGCCTTTTTTGGGAAGAAAAATCAAAACACTGTTACCTAGAGATGAATAAAAATTAATAGGCATATTATGCATAATTCAGCTTCAGGTCTCATATTCAAAACCATCACGAGTCAAACTCTAATCTGGGGCTGAGCTCTACTGACCAGCAGAAAGGGGCAAGTATTCTCCTTCCTGCTGGGGAAGATGCTCCACTCCTTATGTGATCAGCAGCTTGCAGAACTCATAATCCAGATAACTCCAGATCATTTTTTTCCTTTTATTTCCTTACTACTCTTAGGTAATTATGAAACACATTTCATTACAACCCCAAACCAGAAAATTTCTACATTTTACAGGGCAAATGTATTTTCAGGTGCAGCCAAGCTACTTTCCCTGCACTGTTAATCCAATGGGACATGACATCACCCATGATCATGATCAGTCATCTCCACATGAAATTGCTTTCTGCCTCTTTTAAAAAGATGCTTAAAGATGAAAAATTATTTTTGATATTAAAGTTAAAACACTTCATCTTGAAACTGTCAAAATGAAAACTTCCAATTTCCTGGATTGTTTATTAAAATCTCAAAATAGTTTTCCTATTTCTCAAAGCCTGATCTGGCAGGGAAAGAACTCAGAAGCAAAACTGTTCACTAGATTAAAATATAGTTCTCATACATTCCCACTCATTCCCCAGTCTGATGAAAAATAAATATATATATTCTCTTGGATTTTTGGGAACACACTAGCAAACATGTGGTGAACACACCATTTCACTCCAAATCTTTCTGAATCCCTTTTGAGTATTTTCTGTACCAATTTTAATGAAGAATTGAGATTGATAATAAACTATTAAAATTAATTAGAGTAATTAGCCAGGACAGGGAAATTCACAGAAGCATATTTTTCCAGAGAACAAATATCCACTTTCACACAATGAATTCCCCTACAAGAGGCTGAGCTAACACCAACAGCACCTGGCCCACTGCACAACTGGTCAATCTTCAGATTGCAGTCATGAGACCAAGTTGTGAAATTAATCTCTTACACCAAATTGAACAATGAACTTCAGCTGAAAGACTTCTTGCCATATTGCCAGAGCATGAATCCTGTACCTACAGCATCTTCCAGTGCAAACTCACCCTGCAAGTGTCTTCCTGCAGGGTCCTCTGGTCATACTTCAGGGCATAGTTCACACCTGGCAATTTAAACACGCCTCCTCCAAATTCTGTTGTTGCAAATCTGATTTATAAGCCACCTTATTAGGAGGTACATGAAAGGTGAACAAAGAGGTGCTGCTGCTTTGTTTTCAAGGATGAAGCACAATTTACACGTTGCTTTCACTTGGGCTTTTTCAGGGATCTCTCCTCAAGCTTGTGAAACAAAAATTTCCTAAACAGTCTAGAAATAGAATGGAGATGTGAATGTGCTTACTGGAAATATTTCTTTTCTTAAAACCCCCAAAAACTTAAAAACAATGAAACACTGCAACAGGAATTTACAGACTAAGTAACTGGGTGCTAGATACAAAACCAGATTAATTTTTTTTTTTTAAATGAAGTGATTCACATGGAACAGATGATGTAGGAAGAGGGAAAGGATTTTATATATATACATATATATAGATGTGGTCTGGGCTGATTGTCATAAATCAGAATAAAAGCTTTGGGGTTATACTGAATAACTGAATTGTCAAATACAGAATTGTCAAAATTTAGGACTAATCCAAAATTCCTGTAGCAGTCAAAAACCCATATTAGAAATTATTAGGAAAGGAACAGAGAACAGAAGTTATTTTAGTATATCTGCATAAAAATATAATATCTGCTGTTTGAATTCTTTTGTGTATTTCCACTTTGCCACATACTTCAGCTAGAAGCTGTAAGAGGAAAGATAAAAGGTGGGAAACAAATTCTGTCTGCACTATGATGAGACAGACCACAACGCCTCAGCCAGGGCAAAGACAACAGAGGTGATGATAGACATGCATTCAATGGCAGGTGACAGAGACAGTGGGAGGGAAATCACTGCTCACCATCTCTTCCAGCACTAGGGTCAAAAAGAGAAACTGGTGATATCAAGAGATGCCACTTCATCCACTGAATAAGTAAACTGAGGGAACTGTCCGCTGGGAGAATCAGGTGATAAAGATTCATCTGATCTGGGGAAGTCTGGAGAAAATGTATCAAAAGCTGTTACATGTGAAGATGTCCTTCTGGCTGAGGAAGTCCTGAGCAAGCTGTAAGACCCTCCCACAGTCTTTGCTAGGGGGTCTTGTAACACGTACCAGAGAGGTAATCCTACACTCCTGAAATATTCTTTGCAGTTTCTTAGGTATCATCTATTCAAGACAGAGACCAACAAAGCCAGACATACCAGGGTTTTTTTAGAGTGAACATTTTTGTAATTTATTTTTAGAGTGAACATTTTTGTAATTAGTTTTGCTAATTACAAAAATGTTCACCCTTCCTCTTACTTCCCAAGAGTAAATAAAACCTTTCATTATAAAACCCACTGCTGTGAGGCTGATGCTCTGGCTTTGGGAAGTTCAACCTGCTTTGGAAAGGGAAGGCAAAGGACATCAGCAAACAGAAAATATGGGTAGTCAGGAATGGAGATAGCAGGCTGGTGAAGCCCTGGTATCCTCACACTCACAAGCTCCAGAAAAGGAGCCTCAGATGGTCACAGCACAGTGCTTCACTGCAGCTCTTGGCATGGCTGCCCAGGAGCAGACTGGGTAGGAGTTGTTCTCACTGGTGCTCTTTGAGAGAAGTTATATCAAGTTAGTTTAGACAGTAACATTCACCAACAGAAACACGTAAGTAGCCCAGTTGTTTTTGCTGAAAGGAAGAGGTGGGATATGAAATGGGCTACCAACAGTGTATGAAATATATATGAAAATATTTGGAAGCATATTCTTTTGGTTTTACCTCAGATAATGTTTTCATAAACATTTGAGTGTCTTGCACACTAAAAAGGAGGTACAGATATAAATTTTATTTGTCTGACAGTGAAAGCTTGAAAGCATTTTGGATCATGAAGGCATTTACACTTTGATTTCTTGAAAAATAATTTAATGGTACCAGCTAGAGAGTGTGACAAAATAGATGTATTAGTTGAAAAAAAATGTTATTCTTCCCAGATAAGAATACTATTACAAAATTTTCCCAGTGAGAAATTTTAAAAACTGGCATGGGGTTGTTGGTTGGATTTTATTGCTAGTGAAATATATGTTGTTGTGTCATGTCATAAACAGAAAACTGAAGCACCCTTTTTAAATCCTCAGCACTGCTGACACTTCCAACAAGTACTTCCGTATTGCTTTTGGTCTTATCTGTTTCTAACAGACAGCCTCATGCCTTGGAAATCTGACCTGAAAGAAAAATTCAGCCCCAAGTATCTGCTGTCAATTGTGCAGAAAATAGGAGATGACAGCAAAGTCACTCCTGCATGCCAAATTAGATCTCTTTCCAACATCTTCTAATGTCATTATTAGCACTCAAATACACTGTGTCAAAATGTGTCTGCATAGGGAGATGGACCAGGCAACATCAAATTTATCTCTTAGTCAATATGACAGGCTGGTTTTGATTCAGACTTCTGAACACGAGAGACTCTTAGGAAAAAATATCTGCTCCATCATGAAGGTTTGTTTACAAATATGGATACTATAATAGATGGAAACAGTTAGGAAAAAAAACTGTATTATGCAGTTTCATTGGATTTCTGGAATCAATAGCATAATAGGAGTTAAAATCATCAGTGGGAGCCTTAGGGTCTATGCTCCAAATAGTTAATGGTGCAATGCAAGGAGTTACAAGATCATCTTCAAGAAGACTGCTTCAGAGATAGCCTTAACAGAAAATACTCATCCTAAAGCAACCACGTAAATGTGAATTTAAGTGTACCAGATGGTTTTAGAACAATATTCAAAGGCATGAAAAGGGAACCACATCTGCAAATATTAAATTCCAGTAATTTGTTCACGGTTTTATTTCTGACTAAATGTACCCAAATAAAAGTGAATACCCAGATGAAAAAGGCACTTAACTACTGACAGAAAACAATTCCTGGAAGATCAAAGTCCTTCCCTGTAGCACTGAAAAGAAAAAAGAGTGCACCATCTAAATACAGTGCTACTGCTTAACATACAGCATAAACAGACACTACAGCTCCATACCCTTTACCTGTACAGCAAAGTTCAGAAGGTTAATAGAAGAAATTAAATAAACCACAATGAAAAAGATTTGAAGTATCATACACATCGGACTATTAACCTAAAGAGAAGAAAACACTGTTTAATTCCACTAAATAAATGGATATTGATAAACTTCACCTATTCTAATTAGCAAGATTCTTCCTGTTATTTCATCTTAATATGACTTCTTAACACCCATTTCATTCCACCCAAGACAATTATTATTTCACAGAGACAATGAAGTTCTGTACCTTCTCATTAAACTTGGATGATTCTTAAAAAAATGTTTAGGAATGTTTACATACTTTATGTTTGGTTCTTAGTGAGCATGGGAAGTGGCTGTATGCCATTTACACTTACCATCCACAACAGAGGTCATCATATTCTGCATTCTGATCTGGGCTCACAGACCCGTAACTAACACATGGTGCATACTGAAAATGCTTAGGAAAAAACTACAACAATAACAAAAGTAGTACAAACCTCTCCACTCCTTAATAAAATTTAATCCTGTATAACAAGAGCAAGTTTGTACAAATCCTAGCATTCTAATTTCTTAACATTCTAACTTCTTAAAGCAGAGGAAGTTAACCATGATCAATGCATATTTTAATGCAAAGTATCTCATTATCTTTCCAGAAGTGAATTTTTACTTTTTCCTATGTTAATTGCAAGTACTTTTGAAGTGAATTTCAGAATGCAACTTTAACACAGATTTTAATCATCTCATTACCATAATATGTATAGACAGAGTTTCTCATACCACAAAATGGTACTCCTTAATAGAGAAGCATGGTATCATTTCATTTTCTGTGTATACACTCTATATATGATACGTCAACTTTTGCCAGCTACAGCAAAATGAACTCTTATCTGCTCAGCCCATTGCCAAATTAAGACTGAGCAAAAGACATACACAGATGTTTACTCATAACTTTTCTCCCTTTCTATTTCTTTTCTCAATAGCCTGCATGTAAACAACAATTTATCTGTATGTTGCTGCCAAGGTTTCAAGTTTTGACTGTTTGTCTATTTTTACAAAAAGAGCAAACCCCCTGTTGGTTCATATGAAGGGATAGAGAGGCCAGTCCATTTCCTCAACTCTGCCGCCTCCCACCTTAAGTCAAAAAAACTTCTTATTATTTTTAATCTCATCACAGAAGAATAAATACAACCAAGCCTGCCTCCACACCAGCAGACTAGAAAAGACAAGTCACTATCAAGCATTTCTGGGGGTAGGGAGCAAGGGCAAAAGGCCTAAGGACAAACATTGGCTATGGTTACTGCCACTCAAATAAGCCTTTCCAGCTGTAAAATCTTCAGGGTAATGAATTAACTCTGAATTACAAGAACAAGCTAGCACAGTCTTGCTCTGTATCTTCAGCTGCCAACTGGTAGATCCTACACATGCAGACTAGTGTTCCTCCAACAAATGTACCAAAGAAGAGCAAAGATTTTAAAATAAACTGTAACAAGATGTGGGTATAAGCAAGGTCACCGCCTTAGACAAAGATGACTGTGACAAACAAGGTATTGTTTTTAAAGCAGCTCTTTACAAAGACTGAGCAGGGGCCAGGCACTATTCCCAGCCACAAGGGCACAGCATCATAGCTCAAAAGGAAGAGATGGGGGCAGCAGCCTTGCATTTAGGAAGGAGAAATGCCAGAAATTACTGAGTGGATGTTCACTCAGTGTTTCTTGCACCTTCTGTTAGGGAGAATGAGAGCACCCCTCCGACTTAGTTCAGCAGCTGCCTCCCTGTGGTCACAGCAGAGCAGAGCTGGGGTTTCAATTGCTCTGCTTTGGTCTCTTGACAGGGGATGGAAGAGATTTTTATACCAGATGGCCAAGTACAGGGAAATTGATGGTGGGAAAACACCTGGAAATTCAGTTCTGTCATGGATGGCATAACATATCCAACACAAATCATCATTTGTCAGAGCCTCTACCCCAAATAACCCAATCTCTAAATAGATACAGGAGAAAGCTTTGTCAATTACTACTCAAATGCACTAATTAAGAGGTAGCCAAATTAATCTACAGTTATAACTTTCTCTTCTATATTCCCAAAGACAGACAATTAAAAAGAAAAACAAAAATCCTAAAAGTCTAGACCACATGATTTTAAGCCTATTAAGCATTTCCTGAAAGAGATAGACAGTTGTCAGGGCCATTCAGTTAGCCGCAGAAATCAGCTGCATATGTTTTTTATTTCTCAAAATGAATTTCTAAATTATGAATTAGATGAAACTTCTTCCTGTCTCTGCCAAGTAAATGGCAGTAACAGTAGAAACCAGGAATAAAATGAGAAATTGAAGGATGAGATAACTAAAATTGATTAAAGATTATAACCGTGTTCATAAAAATGTAATGTTTAACATAAAAATGCAACCTCCAGCGCCCTCCTGCACATAAAGGAAGAAACAGCTCGAGATGGTGACATGGCATAAAGTAAAAGTTGAGAAAAAGGCGCATGATGAATCACTAAGTTACACCACAGATGAAGTAACAGATACACCATTTAGCAAACATGTCTCCACACAAATATCTTCACATTTAAGTTTGGTTTACAAATACCTCCTGTAGCTTTAGTCACAATTACCCTACTAGTAGCTTTATAATCCTGTGCACAAGATGACAACCAACCTTGGCATGGTCTGTGGACCAGAAGGAATGAACTGAATAAACTTCAGTCACTGATATTTGTGCTTTTGCCTGCCCCCAAACTCAGTGACACAGCAAAATAAACACAGGAGGCAGCCACACCACATCATCCCCTTACCTACTGCTACCCAAATCAACTTTCTGATTGGATCACCTAACAAAAATCAGGAAAAAAAAAGAAAAGAGAAGGAAGGAAAAAGGACAGGAATTACCCAATCGCTCTTAAAACATATCAAGTCTAGCAAGTAAATAATGAATTCAAAGTAACCCCTATGGATACTAAGTACATATAATACAGT